GTACAACTTAAGGATCGACGCGGGGGACGACCTACAGTGGCTCTCGCGTCTATCTTCTCTAACATTCCTCCAAATGAACTTTGTGAACCTCAGCACGGCCTCTCCCGATTGGCTACGAGCCGTGAACCAGCTGCCCTCCCTGCAACAACTCTATCTGTCAGGCTGTGGTCTCACTGCCCTCCCCGACTCTCTTTCCCGCGTCAACCTCACGGCTCTCACCACCCTCGATCTCCGTGGCAACTTCTTCAACTCCACCTTTCCCAGCTGGCTTTTTGAACTCCGTAGCCTCTCCTATCTCGCGATCAGCAATTCTGAATTGTATGGCACCGTACCTGCCGGTTTTGGGAACTTGACTCGTCTCGCGCAGCTCGACCTCAGCGGCAACTCGCTTTCCGGTTCCATACCTGTCGATCTCTGGAGTTTGGCCAGTCTAACCACACTTGATCTCAGCCATAATTCATTTACGAGTCCCCTTCTACCTCAAATCGGGAACACGACAAGTCTGTCGCAGCTAAACCTCGTTCAGTGCTTCCTCGTTGGTTCCATCCCTGCCGAGATTGGGCGCTTGACCAGTCTTACGGAATTACGCCTCAGCGGCAATTCACTTTCGGGTCGAATCCCCGCCGAGATTGGGAATCTGTCCAGCGTAACGCAGCTCGACTTGGGTCATAATTCACTCTCCGGACTGATACCGGTTGAGATCGGCAAGCTTTCCGACCTATCCTCCCTTGATCTCTCCGATAACTCCCTGGAGGGCACCATGTCCGAACTCCATTTCGTGAACCTAACCGAGTTGGTCGTCCTGTACGCGTACGCCAATCCTTTGACCATCCGATTCGACCACGACTGGGTGCCTCCTTTTCAACTTCAATCCATCAAAGTTGATACCTGTGACTTGGGTCCCGCGTTTCCAAGGTGGCTCCGTTCTCAGGAGTTCCTGACTGATATTGATCTGTCCAACACAAGCATCGAAGATACACTGCCTGATTGGTTTTGGAATTCTTCTTCTTCCACCATTATGGACATAAATCTGTCCCACAATAAGATCGGTGGAGTTTTGCCGGCATCCTTGGAGAGTATGGCCACCTTGATGCTCTTGAATTTGAGCTCCAATCTCTTTCGAGGTCGCATTCCTGTTTTGCCACCAAACCTACAAGCGCTGGACTTGTCCAGCAATTCTTTGTCGGGATCGCTACCCTCGACCATCTCATCACAGTTGGGCTACCTGTTCCTCTCCCACAACTATCTTCATGGAAGCATACCGTCGTCCTACGTCTGCGACCTGCAGCAACTATATGCCCTTGATCTATCCAACAATCAAATATCAGGAGAAATCCCGCGTTGTCGGCCGGAGGGATCACAACTTTTGTTTGTCAATCTGGCGAACAACAAGCTACGAGGAAAGTTTCCTGACTCCATCGGAAACTTGGGCAACCTTCAGTTCCTGCACTTAAAC